ACAGCTCATTCCTATAAGCCTGACACAGTTGAAGGATAACTAACCCTAAACTGCTTTCAAATGATTATGGCTCCTACGCTTCCATTCTCTATGAGCGGACAACCCTACATAGCAACATATTATGTATATACATATATATATACATATATATATATATATATGTGCGTGTGTATTCATATAGAATTGCACATACATATGTATGTATATATATATATATATCTGCATATATACATATACATATACATACACACACATTATATATATATATATAGACATACTTTTATATGCATATATACACGGCTATTGGTGCTGTTGGAAAAGGACGAAGCACCGGCCAGTCGCACAGCCGCCGAGGCTGTAAAGCTGTGCGGAGCTGCTGTTTGTGAGGATCCAGCACCTGTGAACAGGGTTTAGGGGCTTAGGGTTTGGGGGTTTAGGGGTCTAGGAGTTTAGGAGTTTAGGCGTTTAGGGGTTTGGGGTTTAGGAATTTGGGGTGTAGGGTTTAAGGATGCAGGGCTTAGGGTTTAGAGGTGTAGGGCTTAGGGTGTAGGGTTGTTGTGAAAAGTTTAGGGAAAGCTGTAAAGGATGATAAAGAATAAAATGGAGAAAAACATAGAAAATGACATGAAGGCTACTATGTCATGATCCACCTACTTGGAGAATACAGGGACGACATAGAACAGGGGGAACGTGAGGATTATAGTAAGGAATGGAAAATGGCATGGACACAACAGTATGATTGAGAGTTTGAAGGTTTTCAGTTTAGGAGTATACTTACAAAAACAGTTGCAAGCCTTCGTAACCCGTGTAGGAACCCCACTTACCCCCGTTTCTCCCCTACTCACTCCGTGCCCCTGACCCTCCAACTATGACTGAACCCCTTTACCCCAGCACAAGCAGCATCACAATAACAGACCTGCAAACAATGTTTAAAAATGTCCTGCTTGTGTGTTTTGAACTTGCTTGGTATCACACAACATGACACAAGCAGCATCTTCAACTTCGTTGGCGCAAACAAAAGAAGCACTAAACCCTATAACGCTAAAACCCTAAAACTACACATGTTCCCAGGAGAGCCGAGCTGCATCTACGGCCAGCCACATCTTCGCACGCAGGGTGGCGATGATGTTTTTCCTCTGCTCCTGGGTTTGGGGTTTGGGGTTTACAGTTTAGGGTGTAGGGCTTATGGCTTCCAGTGTGACATTTTCGTTGACCTGTTAATTGCGGCTGATGATCTCTGCCTCCAAATACAAACGCATTACAACAAAGTCTTCACTTCTGCTCAGGCAACATGCGCTGCTGGAACCAACGTGTTTCATGCCGCTGCATGCTGGTTTCCAATAGCTAGATGTCCCACAGCTCAGGAGCACACCGAAATATGAGTGTTTTTGGTAACCGGCCACAATATGGAGGCATTTCCCTCCCACACTTACATTTGGGCAGAATCCAGACTGGATAGAACCCTACACCACTTTACAAGCCCAATGCACAAAGTTCACACAAACAAGTACCATTTGGCAAAAGACGTTGCCTAATTTCCTAAAGGTCCGAAACTGAGAGCCTTCCAAATCCCGTCCGAATACCTAAATCCCCACCCCTAGCTATCACAGTATAGTATACTACAATGGAATATTCTTAATCTTACGGGGCGTGCGAAGTTCTTAACATCAGGGGTCTTCCATGTCATGCTCGACTTGATTATATGCCCATTGTCACCCCGTTAAGGGCACCTCTACACGGTATGTGGGGGTAGAATGGGGGTAGAACTCTGGCACATACCCCATCTAGCCTGGCCAGCTCCCCGGCCTTAGGAGATTCCGGTTACCCTACTTGGACAGTTTAAAGCTATGGGTTTAGCATTCAAAGTCACGGGGATTTGTAAAGTGCTTAACAATAGGGATAGCTGGAGTCAACGGCGTTCTAAGTTTACTTACTAAGTCCCCCCATAAGACACTCCAAATAAACCCCAAACCCATATAGTAGGGCGTCAGAACTCAAGGCTCAGTGCTGACAATCCTTGAAGTTGACCCAAGAGACGCGCACCTTCCGGTCTATGCTGCACATGCCTAAATACCGATAAGTACTGGAGACTCTAATGGACAAGAAAATGGAACATGAAAGGAAAACTGGGGTTGAAGAGTGGTGTATAGGAATGGAAGACGAGAGAGTAATTACCAATACAATTGTGAGGTCCGGTTGTGGTGTTGTATACTATAAATTTCCTAGGAATATGGGACCATAATATTCCGAAACACTTAGACCACTGCTTGCTGAACTGTCCCTCACCCTGTAGTAGTGATGTAGTAAGCATATAAGAGGACCCAAAGATAATCACTATTATTCCTTATAGTCGCCACTACTGGGTGGGGGTCCACCTAAGCTGGATGTCTCTCACAGCTGACAATCGTAGTAGAGCAGATCAGGAACACACGGACGAGGGTTTTTTTAAACCTTCTCTCCATGGCGTAATAGGAGAAGAACGGCTCTATTAGTCTATAAGAGCTAGAGAGGCTTGGCTCCTCAACCCTAAGCCCTCTAAACTCATTGCTTAGGCCGCCCGCCTACGATGGTGGGCGGCGCCTATGCCGCCTCGGCATCCATACCTGAACCTGCCGCAGCACAGCTACGGGAACGGTAGCACCCACTGGTTCTCATGGGACCAGTGCTGGTCCCCTCATGAGGTGATTACCCTACACCCAAGACCGCCTTTGCCAGCATCCCAAACTCTTCCTGACCTCCCCCCCATCCGAGGGCTTCCCACTTGCCTCCCGAGCCTCGTACGGGCCTCTAAACTTAATAGATGGGAGTCCCAAACGTCTCCAGGCGAACCAAGCCTGAACCCTAAACCCTAAGCCCTAAACGAAGCCCGAACCCTAAACCCTGCACCCCTAACCCTGAACCCTCAAAAAGCCCTGAGCCCTAAACCAACACCCTACCCCAAACCCCAGACCCTGAGCCGCCTGGGTTGACGTCCTGCCCAAGGACCCCTCCACTGGACTCATGCCAGCGAGAGCAGTTCGGCACAGTGTCTACTTTCTAACACAATGAAATACTAACCCACTAAAGCACTGATGGGAATAGTCGTGTAAATCACAAATTGCTGAACGCTAAACCCTGAACCCTAAACCCAAAAAAGGCCCTAAGCCCTCAAGCAACCCTGAACCCCGAAACCCCAAACATTAAACCCTAAACCCCAAGAAAGCCCTAAGCCCTAAGTCTTAAACCAACCCTAAACCCCAAACCCTAAACTGTAAACAGAACCCTAAACCCGAAACCGCAAGCCCTAAACCCTGAGCCCTCAAGCCTACGCCCTAAACTAACCCTGAACCCTAAACCCTAAACCCCAAGCCCAAAATCCTAAACTCTAAGAAAACCCTAAGCCCTAAGCCTAAACCAGCCCTGAATCCTAAACCTGAAACCCTAAGCCCTAATCCCTAAGAAAGCCCTAAGCCCTAAACCCTAAGAAATGCCTGGGCCCTAAACCAACACTGAACCCAAACCTTACACCAACCCTGAACCCGAAACCCTAAACCTTGAACCCTAAGCCCTAAACCCTAAGCCCTGAACCAAGCCCGAACCCTAAACCCTAAGCCGTAAAGCATGCCCGAACCCTAAAGAAGTGTTGGAATTGGTGTGACTTTGTGCAAGAGTCAGATCCTTTTGGTGCTGGAAACAACTATTTTTGGTGCTTGAATCGGCTCCCCTTGATGCTTGAATCGGCTCCTTTTGGTGCTTGAATCGGCCTGTTTTGGTGCTTGAATCCGGTCGTTTTGGTGCTTGAATCGGGCTTGTTTAGTGCGTGAATCGTTGGTGCGCGAATCGGGTAGTTCCTGAATCGGCAGTGCCTAACCGTTGGTGCCTGAATTGTTGGTGCTTGAATCGGGGTTGGCGCGTGAATCGTGCTTTTACGATCCGAAGAGCCTCGCAGGTTTGTAGCGACTTTTCAAGCCGGGTCCTGCAGGCTAAGCAGGAAGCTTGGCCGTAGGAAACATGTTTTGTTGACCAAGGTGGACCTAACTGAGTTTAGGTCCTACTAAACCCTACTGTAATAGGAATAGGTTTGGGTGGTTTGGCCGCCTGGCACGGCGGCGTGGGGTGGGTGAGTGTGTTAGATGGCCAGCCGCAGTCAGGCCTCAGCAGCATGTCGCACAGCACAGCACGTTCGAAGCGACTTTGTGGCATGATCATCTCTGCTTCAGCGCTATATCACGGCAAACCCTAAACCCCAAACGATAATCAGACGTATTTAGAGAAGGCCGCGATTCAAGGTGTAAGCACTCCCACATTCACGAAGATAACAGTCCCGTCCCCTTCTTACATGAGGGTCTAAACTCCTTAAACGAGGGTTATAGAGGAGAATTATACGGGTTATTAAGAGGGATACTAAGAGTTTAGACCATAGCTCACATATTGAAGCTCCTCTGCAGGGCGATTCCCCAACAAAAATGCATCCAAGGATGACAGCTTCAAGCAACATTCGGAAAAGGAAAACCTACCCTACAACAGGCAGCCAGGCACCCCCAACATGTACCCTTCCCTTTTAGAAATTCTCAACTTGCACCAAATTTCCGGCTTCATGGTTGCGAGGATAGTGCGCACCCGCTGTGTGGCGGAGAGCAGCTGGCGAATGTCAGCAGGAGAATCCGCAGTGAGCATTGGCACAAGAATTTCTTGTAGAAATCTGAGGCCATCTGTCTGCAAGACGCCTATCTGCTTCAGCAGGCTCTCGACTTTCGGGTGCATCATTTGCCGGAATCGGAGATTCAGCCCCTCAGCATAGCCCTCCAAGGTTTTGGCCATGGCCTCGTCAACAATGTAAACTTTGTTCGCAGCGGAGTGCAGCACCCCTCTCTCTGTTGGAATTGCCTCCAGCTTCTTCAAGTTTTGCATCAACGTGGGCGGCGCGCTTGCCAAGTTGGAAGCGATGACATGGAAGAACCTTCGAAGCCAGCTAGAGGCATGAGTGTGCTTAAGTTGGTTGAGCAGCCGGGCCAAACTAATCAACACTGCTGAGAACAGCCCAGGAACAAGTGAAGCAAACCCAGGTCAGCCACGGACCGTGTCCTGGCAGCTGAATCCTCGCGAGACAGCCGACTCAAAAGCTCGAACGCGATGCTTGCATTCAGCTCTGGGATGTGAAGGGCTGCGGCTAGCCGGCCATTGAGAACGTCTGCCGGGATGAACCGCTTTCCGCGATTTAGCACGGCCTCCAACTCCTTCCTGACGTCTGCGCTCAAATGCATGTCAACGCTCGCTGGAAGCTCTGGGCGAACCGCCTCTGCAGGTGAGACCAAGATGTAGGTCTGCTTGTGCTGCGCCAAGATGAAATTTCCTCACGAGCCGCAAGGGCGAAAGGCCAAAGATCCCTACCAAAGACAATAATCACAAAATCCCAGGATAACTTGCATCAAACACCTTGCGGGCGAGCTTCGTTTCGTGAGTGCCTGCACAATGGTCCTGGGCGCGTCTACGAAGAACTCAGCGGTCTCTCCGGGAAGCGGAATCAGAGCGTAGATTCGCTTGAAGGCAGCCCTGGGGTCGAGTTATGCAGGGCCCGACACCGCTTCATTAGGAAATAGGCATGCCAAGATTTATGTATGTATGCATGTATGAATGTATCTATGCATGTATGTTAGCATATCTGTATGTATGTATATATGAATATATTTACACAAACATATCACATATATATATATATGTATAAATTTGAAATCATAGACATCTAGGCATCAAGGGCTCTCATGATCTCAGGATATCGAGTAAGGAAGGTGAACCTTTGGGTTTATGCTGTGTACTTACCTTACCTGGGCGGTACTTTCAAGAGCTCAAGACTAATTTATGAATAGGTTCCCACACAAAAAACAGTAAGGCAAACCAAAATCCAAAGTGCCACCCAGCTACCCCATAACATTGAAGGTTATGTGCTGGACAGGCAGGGAGAGGTCTGACAAAACTCAAGGAAAGTTGCTCGGCAAACTCTGTTGGTTTGGCGTTTAAGGGGTTTATGGTGTAGGGTTTTAGGGTTTTATGGGTTAGGGTTGAAGGGATTCTGCCACAATCTTCACCATCGATGCTGGAAGGTGTATGCAATGCTTGAGCAATGATTGGAAGGGAGCTCTTAGCTTCTACATGTTCGCGCACATACTCGGATCTGCTAGAACAGCTCCTACACCACAAAATCAACACCTTAAATGAAAAAAACTCAAGTTGCACCTCGGAATCAATAGCCCAAACTCCACTCCACAAGCGGAAAAGGGGAATGCAGGCTACACTCAACCACCTAGTCCAAGCGAGATTCACTCGCTGTGAGGCATCTGTAATGGCGAGGGCGTTCTTGGCCAAATCCTCACCAACGTTTTAAGGTGTAGGGTATGTTGGAGTTTCTTCGGGCGCGGGTTTCTTAGCGACCCAGAGGCTGACTGTGGATGACAAGCCGCCAAGAAGGATCATCATTCGGGATTTTTAGGGTTATACCCAGTACCCATAGAGATTGAAGAATCAGGGCACCTCGGGAGTCCTGGGAGAATGTCATACCACCCCATACACTGGGCCACGTCATCCTCAAAAATACGGCTGTGTACTCTTGACGGGGGATAACCCTGCACTTTTCTGGAGCTTTGGGCCCTTAATTCATCATATGAGCTTAAGTCTAGACTCCTAGCATCCCCTTTAATAAGCCCTATAAGACTCCCCTAGAGTATCCCCGATATAACCCCTCTTTACGGAGTTTAGACTTTAGTACATATTTCTTGCTTGACCCAAAACCCAAAACCCTAAACCTTGAACCCTATTATAAACCCTAAACCCTTCAAACTGCCCATCGGGCTCCTCGATCAAGTTGCAGAAGATGCTTGGAAGCGCGCACCTTTCCACACTGGGATCATGGTGGTACGTACTTGCTGGGTCAGGGGAACTTAGTAAGTAGGTTAGGGTTTAGGGTTTAGGGGGCACTTATTAAGTAGGCCCCGTATAGTAACCCTCATTATCCCAGTAAAAACCTAGTTATTAAGTCCCCCTGAGCCCCCAAGTAGTGATTATGTAGGGCATTCACGCTTCTGAGAGGCGATTGCAGGAATGTAGGGGGCGTGAACGGGTAAGTTCAGATAAATAAGGACCCGAGATGCGGGCCTCTTTACGAACCCCCAATTTTTCCTCCCATGTTCGACTCAAAGCCTGATGACATTCCGAACATAAGAAAGTATTTTTAAGAATGCCTTAGGGTTGTACTTTAACAAATAAAATGGATAACAATTCCTAAAAAGACTAAAGAGGGCCCACCAAAGGCCTGCCAAACTTACTGGTGGGTCGGGATCGGAGGAGAGGATCCCTATTCTCTAACAAAATAATTACCTGTCGTTGTCCATATTCCCCCATCCTTCAGCCATTCCCGACTGAACACCAGTAAGCACAAGTATGGCTTCCTAATTTTCAATTGTTCTTTCTCTATGTGAATGAAGAATCTGAGGCAAGCCTCGCAACCTCAAAGACGAGACTTCGAAGACACTGTGGGGTTAAACAGACGCGGCCATAAAGAGCATTGTAACTTAGTAGCGCGGGGCACTGGCATAGGTGTGGTGTAGCGCTCCGCATCCAGATGCCCAGATAAGTATAACAGGATTTGGGAGATGACTTTACTATTGCCTTGGGAGGGTTGTAATAAACTCGAGACTCATCTGTCATGTCACCTCCCCAAAATGATGCTGGCCCCTTTCTTCTTGATTTTGAGTCGTCTGAGCTTCCCAAATCAACCCTCACTCAAGGAAATGATCTCTTGTGGTAGCTGTTCTTCAAACACAAGCTCATTGGAAGAGCATCCTGCCCGAGATCTAGGCTGCCTTGATCTTACTCAAGAACGTGATGAGACTCAACTCTAATGGGGCTTCTCAAACAGCAATGCTCTTAATGACCATGTGGATATACAGGGATTGCATTGGGATTTTGGGGACCTTGCTCAGCCGCTAAGCATTCCAGAGAGGCAGCTTGGAACAAATCAGAAACCTAGCAAGATGTCTTGGGGTAGGGATAAATAGGCAGAATGACTTTCAGGAGAATTTCCCTCTACTTCCTTTTCTGGATGATAAGAGCTCCGAAATTCTCCTGTAAATTCTACTGTGGGCCGCCGGCCCCCCAAAGACCTAATGTACATGCCTGAAGAGATAGACGGTGAGTTTCGGAGCATATCATTCCTGGCTCCCACAAGGGTATAACTATAGTCCTCCTAGACCTATAATGAAAATGATATGTGCACTAATTCCTCAGGGGAATTTACAATAACAACATTAAGAATAATTCCTAAGGAGACTACAGATAACTAGGTTCCCCAGCAACCCGTAATAATAAGGGTACCCTTTTTCCTACTATTCAGCTTTTTAAGGAGACCCCCAAATAAAAAGGGAAAAAGGGTACTACTGAGGTACCTAGATAATGGAGTAATCTTCCTACTTGTGCAGGCTTCTGCGCCACGCCCGCAGGCAAAGGAATTCGACTCTCAGAGTGCGCGTTTCAAGCAGAAGCATGCTCTGCTTGGAGGGTCACGGGGACTTAGTAAGTAGGTTAATAAACCCTATAACATATAGAAACCCTACTTATCCCCATTATTAACCTACTTACAAAGTCCCCATGATCCTCCAAGTGGACCCAGTTTTCCCAGCCTCAGAAACCCCAAGGCCTGATCTCCTTCTTGAAGCCTTGTTTTGTTAACTCCAAACTCAAACTTCAAAATCAAAACCCTGAATCCTAAGCCCAGGATCCCAAGTCAATCCCCAACCACCATGGGCTATTAGACCCTACAATTTCCTATTAGGACCTTATTAAGGATAAATTAAGGTACCCTGAAAGTCTAATAGTCCACAGAGGAACTCACCCTCCAGGCCTCAGGCTCTGATTCAACCTGAGTCGTGATTTTGTGGTGGTTGAACTTAGTAAGATTATATCCCTTATATAGAATACTATACCCCAAAAGAGGATATAATCTTACTCTATATTGGGTACCATAGTATCCCCAAATAAAATACTTCTCACCTGACTTTTGCCACCAAACTTCACAAAGCTCTGGCTAAATCAGGGCACGATTGGGGTGAGGTCGTTAGAGTTTGCTCAGTATAGAATGTGGCTTTGGCTATATTATAATAAGATTCCCACATACCCCAGATTCTATCTACTTAAGGGGGACTATAATTTCGTGTGCGGGTTGCATGGCAGGTTCTATGACCCCTGGGAGCACCCGCTCTCCCAGAAGCTTCCCCACCACTATGACCCAGACACCCCATCCTCAAGGAAAAAGGCTAGATAGGGAGGGTTTCGGGTTTAGGGCTTAGGTTCTAGGGCCTAGGGCCTAGGGCTTAGGGCACAACTAGAAAAACATTGCTGCGCACCAATGAAAGTCTAGCAAAAACTGCAGCTGAGCTGATGGATGAACCCCCAGGCTGGGCGTGGAGAAGGCAATCGGACGATTATGCAGTAACGACGAACAGGACTCATGGGACTCCCATCAAACCGCATTCAGGGTTTAAGGAGTTGCTATACTGAAGCCGAAAACCCTAAACCGTGTCATCGGTGAGACTACAATGTCCATAAGAGGGTGGGTTCAAGGGGGTAGGTACTGGCGAACCTTGGGAAGCTTTCCCGAGCATGTTGGAGGTTCAGAGAGTATGGGGGACTATTAGGTTACTTACTCACCTTTAGCCACCCCTTAAGGACATTATAAGATCATACTGTATAAGGTGAGGAGCTTGTTCTCTGCAAGGATGGCTTCACGCGAGGAGGGCACAGCCCAATCCGCTTGGAGAATGAAGCGAAACCTTTTGGCTGAGGGATTCTGGTAACTTGGGACGTGGGGTAGGGGTAGGGTAGGATAGGGACTTTGGATTTTGGTTTCGGGATTTGGGGCTTGGGAAGTAGTGACGGGATTCATGTTGCATGAAATAACGTTAAATGGCGGGGTCTCCTAAACGAGGTAGGGATTGTGGGTCTCGTTGGTAGCGTTAAACCCTAAACACCAAAACTCCTAAGCCCCTGAACTCCTAAGCCCCTGAACCCTAAACCCCGAGACCCGAAACCCTGGGGCTGTACCTTCAAGCCTTTCAACTTCAGTGATCATAATAAGGGGCCTGAATAGTTACCAATATCATTCTGAGGTCCACTTGAGGTACCATATACTATAAGCCTGAAACCATGGGCTATGATGGGCATCTCGTGTTGGCATTTGATCCTGGTTTCTTGATGCACTGCTATCTACATTTCTACATGCCACATGTCGCTACCCCGCATCTAGGTCTAGAAGCCCTTCTTACAAATACAACATACCCGAAATCCCTTTCTATTTAACAAAAAAAGCCCCAAAAAAAACGCGTACTAAAGGCTTTTGCACCTGTCCCTACGTGAACCATTTGAAGCCCAGGAGCCCATACGATCGCAGCGGCAACCAGGCGAAAGCCGGTAGCTGATCCATAGGGTTCCTTAGTGGTGGCAGTAGTAATGGTAATATGGGTTATATAGGGTTTAGGGTTTAGGATTTAGGGTTATATAGGGTT